TCTATTCCTTGTCTTCTTTCTCGTTAAATGATATGCTCCAAAAACAATGAAGATTATGGGGAAAAGAACAACATCAAACACACACCAGACATTCAGGAATACCCATAACCAGCGCTCAGTACTCAACCAAGAACACTTTCGCATCCAGCCAAATTCACCATGCCACTTCTTTGTCATTTGGCTGTTTATTACTGGGTGCGCAAAGAACTTGAAAACAAAGTTAATGAAAAAAAATAGTTGTTGCGACAGGTTGTAAATTCCAATGAAACCAAACTAATTATGACCTATCTGTTCTTTCCCAAACAAAGTGAAAGCCTCACAATTTCCTTACAACTTCAAACCTTATTTTTGTCCACCTGACAGCTGCTAAAACTCATTATGGCTAATTACCAGAACATCAATCCAGTACTTTACACGACAAAACATTAACACAAGACGGCGGTCTAAGTCAAATTCATGTTGATTGTTATTACTACACACATGTTTGTTGGTTCACGTTAATCATTGACCATTTCGAATAAACGATTGTATAAAGGTACAATTGATTGTGCGTCGTTATGTAAATTGCGTTATTGAATGTCTCAAAAACGCCATTGATTGTCAAACTATGCAATTGATTTCTATTGGTGTTAATGATTAACCATTGCGCGAGATTGAAAGTATAGTTGTTATCTTTGATTGTCCAAAGGTGCAATTGTTCATCAGTTGATACTATTTAAAAAATAGAGTGTTTCTGTCGAGGAACTATCGGCTAATAGTTGCCCCGCGGAAATTTGATGTTCTTAAAACAAATATGCTAGTTTTAAGAACATCAAATTTCCAAGGGGCAACTATCAGACCGATAGTTCCGAGACATAAACACTCTATTGTTTTCATTGTTCACCACTAAATTTTCTTCCGCGCCTACAGCTTGTCACAAATGTCAATAATTCGCAACCGTACATTGGCTAAATAATATGTTATACCTGTCAGAATTGAAAAGTCACTGTTTTTCCGATCTGCCTAACTTCGCGGCTGTCAAACTATTCAAAACTTTTCACGGATGAGTACTATCAATCCAGGTATTCTCCGCGGACGGACACTATCCATCCGGGTATTTTCCGCGGGCGGGCACTATGGGCTGATAGTCTCTCCACGGATGAACACTAACGCGTCACGTGATCGATTTAAACCAATAAGAACCGGAGAAAATTTAGTGGTGAACTATAATGAATGTTAATACATTTGCAAATAGCGTTACTGAAAGTTCGTTCGCGTTAATGAAGTTCATTGAAGTGCTAATGAATGTATATTTGCCGTCTAGTTTCAACTATTGAGGTAAATGAATGTATGTTTTGCGTAAATGAACAGCAAAAGTTGTAATTTCCACTTACTTTCTTTTGTTTGAACTCTATCGCAGCGTCCATGACGTTGTCAATTGAATCTCGTAAAAAAACATCGCGTAATCGTCCACCTGATTTCAATGGATCAAAAAGGCGAGAAATAAACTCATCCAAAGAAGCGGCTAGCTTGTCGAAATCTTCGTGGTCCGGTCCTTTTTTGTCAGCTAATCGTTGAAGTTCAAAATTCACCTGCAAATAGAATTACAAAACAACTTTGTTAACAGAAAATTTACAAGATATAATAGTAACCGGCATACATTACCTTGCCCTTGTATTCTTCACGAAGACGATGGTAAACATGAAAGACGCCTTGCTTTTTCTTCTTTGTGAAATAACTGAGATAGTGCGAGCGCCCTAACTGGTCAAAAACCCGCTATCTTTTATTGCAGCGGTAAACCCATAGAAAATCGAAAAATTTGAAAATGTTCGAAACGTTTGCAAATTGCTCACCTCTGGCTCGTAATTTACAAAGTTTTCTCGCGTTCTATCAACTTCGATCTCATTTGGGTTATCACGCCGGTAAAGCGGTCGAAAGTGGGGCTTATTACATTGTTGGATAAAGTTGATAATGAATTTGACGAACGCACTTAAAATAATATTTTGAAAATAATAAGAAATTTTTCGTTTCGAAATATTCGCTTGCCTCAGTGTTCAATCAAGAAGATTAGAACGTTATCGATCTAAACGGGTCGGTCTTTTTATGGTCTCATTGCAATATTCGGTGCCAATTATTGCAAGAAGTTCTTCGTTTAATGGTCTTCATAGTATTTAAACAATGTAACTATAACACATTTACCTCCATTGCCATCAGCAGAGCGTTCGTGTTACATTTTGTCAAAGCTCTTGGAGTAAGTTTGTCACTGATCTCGTCAAATTCTCCATCCTTTATTGTTTTTCTCAAGCAATCTTCAAAGGCTGAAGTAAAAGTCAAATTACAAAAAAACGTAATGTGTTAAAATACTTCGAGAAACCATACCACAAGTTTATAGTACATATATATTTAACGCAAAAACGATTTTACGATTGACCTGAAAACTTGGAATTAAACAGATAATATGTTATAATTAAGTCTCCTGAATCCTTTTAAAAACATGCAATAGTTTAAGTAATATTTTCTACAGGTAACAACATGGTACATAGGAGGTACGTTTAGACTATAAGAGTCCCCAACAAAAGGAATAAAGTATTAATATCACTTGCCTCATCTGAACTAATTTTTCGTTCTGCGTCAAAATGTCCTTAAGGGTACATACTGACCTTTCCTGTCGTTTACTTCTTCGTTAGACACTGTCTGCAATTCTAACCAGGTAATATATTCCTCCATTGTGTACCCCTTACTTGTTAGAGCAAGTTACTGTAGGCATGTCCTGTAGTATACAGAGTTTATGTACGCACAAGCACAAGGAAGTTAGAGAAGAATGCAGAACGAAACATTCAAAGTTAACGAAATATCACCGAATCGAAATTTTTCTCTAACGCGAGGGTGTGGGTTAAGCTCTACTGTTCCTGATGCAAATCAAACTCACATACAATATCAAATAATTTGTATAATCTGAGCGAATGATTCCCTAAGCTGACGACCGATTTTTGTTACACCTACGTTGACGATTCCAAGTACTATCAGGGATTCGTTCAACCATTTTTTTTGTGGTTTTTTCCTCCGACGTTAGATTTGATGATATAAAAAAAAATTACAGTGACTTAGAGAAAATTTATGATTAAGCAAAACAAATTCGTTTGTCGCTTGATTAGTCGTACTTGGCTGATGGTGATGATACTGAAGAGAAAAACTATACTTAGTAGCAAATGCCAGACCAACTAGACCGGCACCCAAATTCTGAACTCGTCTCTGATAAAACCAGGAGCTATCAGCTCACTTTCACCTAATGCGTGGTTAGATTGTAAATGAATTGTCATATCTCAAACTGTCTGACAAGGTAGAAGGCTACTCAATTTCGCCCACACGAACACTAGATTGGAACCGTAAAACTTTAGTTTCAAAGTTTTGATAAAAACTGTACAAGCATATGTAATCATGAAATTTGCTTAACTAACCTGTTATTTTAAAGTTATTTGATTAAAAAGCCTTCCGTGTGTGTTTTCAGACAAATTAAAATTCTCTTTGTGGAACAGCAAGTCGGAAACCTATTTAAACATTTATACTTAAGTCAAAGAAAAATGAGCAGTTAGTCCATGGGGATTATGAAAAATGAGCAGTTAGTCCCTGGGAGACACACCGGCTCTTTAGAAAAAGAAAAGCTTTTGCTTTATTTGCACGCAAATGAAGTGCCCTCACCAGAAACGGTTAAGTAGTTTTCGCGGGTAGCACGAAATTTCGCAATTAGAGTGAATTTACTTTTTAAGAGAAACCTTCTTTTCTCTTAGCCGTTTTTCCTTAAATCTTACATAAAAGACTGTTACAAGATGACATGGCAAAATGATTTCAAGAATAAGCATGTCTGTTTAGAAAGAATAAATGATGAAGGTAATCAGCAATTATGGTAAGGATAAGGATAATTTATTTTGTGTCAGGTGCACGGGGAGTGGTCGCCCAGATCTCCCGAGCCAGGGGCTCATGATAAAAGTGACTGACCCGTTTACAAATATATATATATAAAGACTACCTAACAAATCTAAAGTCTAAAAAGTGGCTAATCTATGAGTTAATCGAAGTGAGCTATATATATATATACACATATATATAAATATATATAAACAGACTAGGAGAAGTCGTGGCTGTAAAAAAGTGCTCGATGTGGGTTGCAGAGCGTTTCAATAGCTGTTATAAATTAATGACAGGAAAATCGTTTCACCGTTACTCTGAGTTTCCCGCAGCTTGCGCTGCGATCGTCAGACCGTCTGACGATCGCAGCGTAAGCTGCGTGAAACTCAGAGTAACGGTGAAACGATTTTCCTGTCATTAATTTATAACCGCTATAAAGATATAGCTCTTTGGCATACAAAGCTCTGCTTTCATGTCCAAATTGTTGAGCACTGTGGGATAAGTCATCGTCGCTAGCATTGTGCATAGCTCACTAGGCTCTTCTAGTTTGAGCACTTTGGCATGGTTTAGACGATACCACAAGTGTGGGATCGTTTGGGGATCCATATCGGTTCTCCCCCATCTTAGCATCAGCACTGTGCTGATGAGGCCTAGAAGGCCGAAACAGTACTGTCTGCAGTTAGATATAGCTCTTTGGTATAACAAGCTCTGCTTTCATGTCCAAATTGAGCACTGTGAGATGAGTCATCGCCACTAGCATGATGAGTGGGTAACCGCGAAACAGGCTTGTAGGGATGAAGTAGTAGTTTATTTGTCTTTTTCCTCCCACAATATGTGTATATATATATATATAACAATGTTTTTCTAAATTTAAATCAATGCACTTTAACTTACGCAGCGCCTAATCTGAAGAATTGTGCTACAGAGAAAGACCAACCTGCCAAGGTAAGCCTTGCTTGATAAGTTCACGAATCTATAGATCGCTACAATGCCAAAATCGATAAAAAGAATGAAACGCGCTGTTATCAAGAAAGCACGTGATACAGTCGCTTCTATTGATCTTTCCCTGATTAATACCTTGCACGCTCAGATGACCATTGATGCTTTAGCGCGATCTGTGGGATGTAATTACCACAAAGAGGCATTATTCAAATCACTGCCCACTACCTAAGGTAGCGCCAAAACTGAATAACAACGCTACCGAGAACACGAAACGGCCGAGGTAAGACTTGCTTCATAAGTTTACGAATCTGTTGATCGCTGTTTTTCCAAACTCGATAAAAGAATTTTGTAAAGAAAGAAAGCTAAAGGTATAATGAATATAAGAAGTTCATATATATTTTGAACTGCGGTTGTAGATATGTATGATGCACGATCCATATTGCATAAATAGCGCTCTCTACTGATAGGATCGTGCATCATACAAAGAAAGGTAAAGGAAGGTGATGTTTTCAAGAAAGTGATCCTGGCAAATGCGATTTTCCATACCGCAGGAGTCGCACCTAATCGGATCTCTTCAAGTTAATACCTCAGCACACTCTGTCGATGAATTATAGTTCAGGGCCTCTAATATTTTAAGGTTCATTCTATTAACTATGTTCAAATCGAAACCCTTTCTAGTACGATTCTACCCTATTGGCCAAAGGGGTTCAATTTGATGTTGAAATCATCTTGGCGCAACCTATTTCCTTTCTGTTTTATTCTAACTTATCAAAGCGGGTATTCAATAGGATTGCGAATGAAAATTTTATCCGTTTTAACAAACGTATTTTGCGTAACATCGCGAAGTAGTTGGACATTAACGAGCTCTGATACTGAAACTAACATTTCTTAAATACCGCATCACAAGTCGGTAAGCAAATAGGATACTTACACTGTACCGCTTGGTTCAACATTTATAAGATTCATGCACACAATTACATAAATGATAAAAGCATTCTACATTCCTGCATGAGTTTGGGATAGAGTCAGTTTTCTACTGATTTTCTAATTTAATGGTTTCTTACTCAAACCTCTCTGTTTCTTTTATCGTAACCCTTGCTTCAAATTTTCTTAGGTATGTTATGAACGGATTTTTCTCTGTTAAGATAGGTAAAAGTGAGTCAGAGAAGGCTGACAGGACTCAGCGATTATTGCAAAACCGCCCGTTGAGGAAGACACGAAATCAAGCGCGACGCAAATATTTTCGTTTCGCTGTTCACCTGAAGCAACGCACGTCACAGAATTTGAGATGCGGGATTTCTTCACCGAAGTACCCCATAATTGAAAATACTAAGCAATACTGCGACACATTTATTTTGCTTGACGCATGGCAGTGGAAATCTATCTAAACTTTTCTTTAACAGCGTATTGCAATCTCTTCCGAAATTAGATTTGCCGCAGCATTGTGTACATTTTTGAGGTGAGCTGTTAAAAAAAAATGAACAAACTAGGTGTAAGCAAAAAAATCTTTAGATCTAAAAATCATCAGAACATTGACTTTGTTCACATCTCATGCAGTACAGTGTTGTTTTGTTAGTTGTTTAATCAAATGTTTAATTATGTAAATTTCTTGCGAACAAACAACCGAAACGAATTTCCATAACATATGAACGGATCACGACAAAGAGGTGCCGTACGACGCATCATTGTACAGCTGAATGGAAACTGCTGGTAGTTCGAAGTCAAATGGCTTTAAGGGCTTACTGATGACTGCTCATATAGATAAATACAAACAGATTGACGAGATAGGGTGTGTCTTCGTGTGTCTCTCGACCCAGCCCCTCACTCGAATCAGCGTCAATTTTGGTTCACTTACCCGCCACGGTCGTTAGCTCTCTCTTGAGATCACAAGAGAAATATAAATGAAAAAATTTCTACAAACAATTAACAATTAATGTAGTATACGATTAACTGTTTAGATATCACTCTCTTGTTTCCCTTAAAAATCCAGGTTCAACGAACTCAAGAAAAAGCAATGTATCTGAAGACTTGCTTGCTCATTCTGCTCTGTCTTGGTCTCGTACAGGCGAGAGGTAATATTTTCACTGCAATTCATATATTCAGCTTCCTGGTGTATTTTCCTCGCAAGTATTAAGAGAGGAAATTTTCTGTAATAAATCCGCCTGATTTTTCTTTCATGCACGTTCAGTGCACAGGAATATTCCCAACTTGTTTCGCAAGGGATTTAGAGAGGAATTACAAGTGAGAGGTAAGCATAGAGTATGATCTTCTTGGCTCAGAACACTGCGACACGCGTTATCAGTTGAATACTTAATGTGTTTTTCCTTCCTTTAAAGCTGGAAATTTCCTGGATTCTGTAATGAATCATATCAAATCTTTCAAAGATGCCAATGAATATAAAACCACATCAAACCCCAACTTTAAGAATCCATCAAGGAGATTAGCACGAGAACTTTCTCAAAGGCTGCACCTTAACGGTTAAACATTTTTTGTTCGAAAGCAACAATTTACTCATCGTTCAATTTCTGTTCTCCCATCAACAACAGAGGCTTTGAAGTGTTACTCCTGCCACGGAAGTAGCTCGAGTGACTGCGAAAAAAAGGAAAAAGAATGCAAACAAGACAATCCTGTCTGCATGAAAGCAACCAAGTCAGGCTCCGCGTATATACTTCAGTGCGCTAGCATGGAGTATTATAAGCAATCCGTGGAGGATTGTTCGGATGGCACCTGTATCGTGACCAAGTGTGAGACGTCTTTGTGTAATGTATAGTGAGAGACACCACAATGTAGGTCGCCGTGATGAGGGTGGAAAAAGAGATTTTGGTTTCTCATTTTTTCATTTCATTTCTATGGGTTTCTGTTAACGCACCACTGATTCACATGTTACAGTTAACATTTCGCTTTTTACATTGAAATATTAAGAACATTTGTAGACAGTTGTCAAGTCAATAAAGCACTGAGAAATGTCCGAGGTCGAAGAGCTCATTTTGAGCCACTATCACATAAAGTAAAAGTTACAAATAAGTCTAACTCAAGCTACTAAGGTAAGTAGGTTTTTAATATTTGATGTGGGTTAATATTCCTCTTCGTGGTTATTCTTTCTCTTGCCCCCCTCCCCCCCCCCCACAAGCGGCGCATGGCCACAGCATTCTTCCATTGAGGGCGGTCCTGTGCGTCTTTTACAAAACCGAAATTTCCAATGTTTCCCTGCAAAATTAAATGCATCTGGTTAAACGACATTTATTTTGATCAGAGAATGGCGGTAGAAGTCTGTCTAAGCCTTTATTTAGCAGCGTATCTTCTCTGAATTGTTATTCGTCGTAACATTGAGTACATCAATGCTTCGTTGATAACTCGAGCCAACAAACGACCGAAATGAATTTCCATAAAAAATAGAAGAAAACGATGGGGCGTGTGACGTAACATTTTACGGTTCAAGATTGAAACTTGTGGTAGCTCGAAGTTAATTGGCTAGTTGAGGGCCATGTGATGACTGCTCACACAGAAATATAAACAGATCGACCATACAGGGTGTGTTGTGCTCTCTCGACTCAGCCCCTCGCTGACTCTGCGTCAATTTTCCGCTTATTTACCTGCTACGCACGAAAGTCCGCGACAAAGAGAACAAACAAGCAAGAAAGTCAATGAACACCTCGCATGCTTTGTCGGTGAGCTACAGGTCAGGGCTTCTGAGATTTTTAAGGTTCATCTGTTAAGCCCTTTTCTAAACATTTCCAAAATGTCAATATTTATCATGGTGATTCTGCAGAAAAATTGGTGGAAATAATGATGGGATTATCTCTAAAGAATATGGCTAATCCCAAATATTTGCCGAACAAAGAGTGTTAAAAAAATGCAGTTTTTCTGTTTTCCAATCTCTAGAGATCAAGAGACAGTTAATGTTTTCTTTTGTAAAATTAAACAAAAATTAATTTACTGAAGTGTACATGTAACTTTGATTTCCACAAAAATAAAGCGTCATCCCATTAAGGTATATTTGTAGTCTGTTGGAGGTAAATTGCTCACCGAACAAAGAGTTCCGTAGTTGAAATCACTTCGCATTAACTTAAGCTGCGCGCCAAAATTAAAGAGACAAACCGGACTGCGAAGGTAAGCCTTGCTTGAATTAACACGAATTTATTGATCTCTGCAATCCCAAACGAGGTTAAAAAAAATTGCTTGAGATTGCGAAAAGTAACGTTCAAAGAAAGTATCCTGGCATATGCAGGAAAAACTAGAAAACCCCGCGAGAGTTTCCGCGGTAGGAGTCATACCTATAGCCCTTTCCATGAATACCTCGCATGCTCTGTCAGTGAACTGCAGGTAAGGGCTTCTGAGGCTTTTTAGATTCATGTGCTAAGCCCTTCTCTAAAAATTTCCGAAATGATATTTATTGTGATATTTCTGCGGAACAATTGGTGGAAATGATGGTGGGATCATTTCTTAAGCGTTGTAGTACTATCTTTCCATAAAGATCGGTTCAGTGTTTTGTGCATAACACAAGCCTATGTAGACGCTTTGCGGAGAAACTGAATGCGGAAATTTCGAAACCATTTCTATTACTATGTTACACTGATGGCCCACTCGAAATAAGAGTTTAAGTTGATGTTGAATTTATTCAAGCACCATTAACTAACCGTTAACATTATGTTAATTTTTACAACGGCTATTCAATATAAAAGAGAACAAAGGTGTTGGACTTTGGTAAGCCATGAATACCGCAATACGGCAAAAATCATCTTAAGGAAAACGAATCACAGCACGAAAAGTCAACGGAACACCGACCTTGCAGTATTCATTACACCCGCACTTGGTGATCATGATTTCACTTGCGTTTTTGACGGTTGACGGTTAATATTTTGGCCTTTTGACGGTTGACGGTTAACCCCATTTAGACCCTCAAATCAGCGATTATTGTAGAAGGACGCACTGAGGAAGAAACGAAATATAGCGCAAAGCAAACAGTTCTGTTTAGGCTGATAGTTTAGGCGTTCACCAGAGCTCGAACGAAGCACGCCGCAGGGTCTGAGATCATCGCTATACCTCAATATAGGATTTATTTACCGAAATACCGCATGAAACACTAAGCAACACGGCAAAACCGAAATTTAGAATGCATCTCATTGGAATACACCTGGTTAAATGACATATTTTGCTTAGCATATGGCGGTGGAAATCTATCTAAACCTCTCTTTAGCAGCGTATTGCAATCCGATCGTTTGAGAGATGTAATTGGTCGTATAGCGTTAAGTACATCACCACATCGTTGACGATTTTACTTAATTTCTTGCGAACAAACAACCGAAATGAACTGATTTCCGTAACAAATACAAAGATCAGATCTTGAAAAAGAGGTTGCGTGTGAAGAAGGAGGTTACGTCATAAAACTTCTAGTTGCTCGAAGTCAACAGGCTCATTTAGGGTTTTGTATTGAATGTTCACATTGATAAATACAAACAGATCGACGAGTCAGGGTTTGTCAGCCCCACACTCTACTTTGCGTTCACTTTCCAGCTATGCACGTAAGGTCACTCATAGGATAGCATTAGAAAAGTAAATGAAAGAAAATTACAACGAGTTTACAATTAATGTATTATGAGGGTAAATTATCAGATTCACTATTTTGTCTCTCTTTAAACTGGACTCTACTCCAGGTTCACCGAACTCAAGCAAGAACAATTTTCTGAAGACCTGATTGCTCATTCTGCTCTGTCTCGGTCTCATACAGGCGAGAGGTAACATTTTAGTCCAAATTTAAAGTGACCGTGATCGAGAAATTAGGGTTTAAGCTATTAAGAACTTGACTCGCATTATTTGGAAGAAGATAAGAGAAGATCTTTCATGTACAAGACATTACCAAAACTACACAAAAAAGATTGCATAATTTTGTTACCTCACATGACTGCCTACAAGCCTACAAGACAACAAGCTTCGATGCGAGTTAATGATTTGTTTGATGTGATATAGGGATAAGGAAACCAATTCTGAGAGGTAACTCAACCTTTTTTTTCCCTTCACACACCTTCAGTATACAAGAAGATTCCAAACTTGTTTCGAAAGGGACTGGGAGAGGAATTGCAAGAGAGGTAAGCACAATTCATGGCCTTCTGGCCTCAGAAGACTATTCGCATCATCAGTTGAATACTTCGTATGGTTCTTCTACCCAAATCGCACCTTTTTGGGCGATTCATACATGTTTAACTTAATCGGGGATAATCCTCCCTCGCCACTGCACCCCTTCTCCGAGGTGACATGTGCTCATCGTTCAATTTATGTTTCTTCAAACAACAGAGGTTTTAAAGTGCATTTTTACTCCTGCCAAGGATCTAGCGAGAGGGACTGCCACAAAAAGGAAAAAGAGTGCAAACAAGAAACTCCTGTCTGCGTGAAAGCAACCATGCCAGGCTACGCGTATAGTAGTCCAGTGCGCTAGCATGGCCTATTATGAACAATCCGTGAAGGATTGTTCGGATGGTACCTGGACCGTGACCAAGTGTGAGACGTCTTTCTGTAATGTATGATGAACGTGGAAAAAGAGATTTTTGGTTTCTCTTTTTTTGAGCCTTATTCCTGAGCATCACTTTTAACGCACCATTCACATGTTACACCTACATCAAGCTTCCTGCGCTGGGATATTTGACACATTTGTTTGTAAACAATAATTTAAATGTTTATCAAGTCAGTAGATCGACAACAAAGCACTGAGAAATTTACGTTTTGAAACCCTTCCAATCTCTTCATAATAATGCCTAGCCGCTCTCACCATCTCGTCCTCCTTCCCTAAAATAATATTTTAAACTGCGCATAGATTCGATTATCGGTGACTTAGTAGAAATTTGATAATTACTCGTTAACAAAAACAGATATGGAGGAGTTCATTTCGAACCATTTAAACAATAGAGTGTTTTTGTCGAGGAACTATCGGTCTGATAGTTGCCCCTTGGAAATTTGATGGTCTTAAAACAAATATTTTCCCGAGAAGCGAAGCTTTGAGGGCAAATATGCTAGTTTTAAGAACATCAAATTTCCAAGGGGCAACTATCAGACCGATAGTTCCTCGACAAAAACACTCTATTGTTTAAATGGTTCGAAATGAACTCCTCCATATCTGTTTTTGTTAACGAGTAATTATCAAATTTCTACTAAGTCACCGATAATCGAATCTATGCGCAGTTTAAAATATTATTTTAGGGAAGGAGGACGAGATGGTGAGAGCGGCTATGCATTATTATGAAGAGATTGGAAGGGTTTCAAAACGTAAATTTCTCAGTGCTTTGTTGTCGATCTACTGACTTGATAAACATTTAAATTATTGTTTACAAACAAATGTGTCAAATATCCCAGCGCAGGAAGCTTGATGTAGGTGTAACATGTGAATGGTGCGTTAAAAGTGATGCTCAGGAATAAGGCTCAAAAAAAGAGAAACCAAAAATCTCTTTTTCCACGTTCATCATACATTACAGAAAGACGTCTCACACTTGGTCACGGT